GTGTTTAGGATAAACCAACATTTTAAAAATGCAGCGTTTCTCCAATGTGCCTGCACTGTCTCCAGCTAAACCTATAGGTAGGCATGGAGTTGAACCAGGAAACTCTGTATCTGTAGGTTTGCTATGTTCACAAGCCAACAGAAATGCTAAACAACACAGAAATACTTCAAAGTGCAAAACATCATCTCAAAGCCCTGTGCAAAAAACTCGTAATGTTCATTAACCTCTTAAGACCTGGTGTCGACATGCGTGGACATCACATTTTGGGTTATATTACCATAGTAGTTAATTTATTATTATTATTATTATTATTATTATTTTTTTATTTTTTTTTTTCTTCTTCTTCTTCTTCTTCTTCTTCTTCTTCTTATTATTATTATTATTTTATTGTTATTTATTTTCTATACTTTTTATTTTTTTGAATATTTTTTTAGATTTTTTTATTTTCTTTATGTATTTTTTAAATTTTAAAATAAAAAAATGCATATCAAACAAGAGCTCAGGCATTAAGAGGTTAAGGTGTTGTAATGTACATGTGTTGTTAATATCTGGATTGAGGTCAAGACTTTTTTCTAGAAAGTAATTGGTTTGAACAGTCATCTACTACTAGAGGTGACATGCTGAGGAATTAAAGAGAAAGAAAAGACTAACCGACACGACTCATATAGCTAGATACGATTTTTTAAATGATTCGGTAAAGCTGTATTAAGTATTATCTCTCTCTCTCTCATTTTTAAAAAAAATGCATTATTAGAAGCCTTGACCAAAAGTTAAAAATGTGATTCCGGGTTCGTTGAGAAAATATTTGAAATCTAATCTTGCAGTGAAAAAAAAGAAAATGTTACTCTGTCAATATATTTCAATGTAGATACTTGCTTAGCGCTGTCAAAGTGTGGTGAAAATGCAACAGAAGAATGTGATTAGAAGTGTTTGAACGCAGTTTGGCAAGGGTGAGAAATTTTAAGTACTCACCCTCCACCTCTCACCATCCACCCCCCCACATACACACACACACACACACACTCCCCTGAAAGTCTACACAAACACACTAACACACAGATGTCAGAGAAGCCTGACTGACTCTACCCCTGTCACTGGGTGACTGCTGTGAAAACAGCACCACCACCACCACCACCCCGCTCTCCTCACCCCTCCCGCCTCCCCTCTCTCTCTCTCCCTCTTCTCTGGACGCCAGCCTGACATACCAGACCTTGTTCGTTAGCGCATATTTTTACCCACCGTTACTAAATTAGGAAGCCAGAGGGAGCAAATGGAGTGTGGCTGCCAAGGCAGAAGAAGAAGGGTCTGATCAGGCTTGGGTTTGCTGAGGGCCCATGCCAACCCTACCAGCTTCATTAAGAGCCACTTGGGTTTCAGAAATAGAAGCCCAACAGGGACTGGGGCCAAACAGAGCCCTGAACGGCCAGCCAAAAACTCACGGGACAAACAAACAAATAAACGAGTTGTCTCATGGCGTGCCAGAATCAACCGGCAGCAGCCATCCCAAGGAGCCATTAGAAGTTATCTTAGGCAGTCTTGCACACAAAATGTGCCCTGCCCCGAGTTTAAAAGTGGTGACGGTACACACACTGCCGGCCCGATACAGAATAAATTAACCTAGAAAGCTGTCTCCAGAGACCAATTTCTCAAAGCAGCCACAGAGACGTTACTTCTTGTTTATTTGGCATGAATATTGGGCCCTGATGTAAGAAAGGATATTTTCACAAGGAAATGTACATTTCCTCTTCTCGCTATGGGCATATAGCTTTTATGTCTATTAAAGCACAGAGTGGAATAAAGACATACCTTATCCTTATTTTATTTTTCCAACCCATGTTTTATTTTAATTCTGAACACCCTTTCATTAGTCAAGCAAGATCTATATGACTTCAAAATTGTACACACTATAAAATACAAACACACTGCATGGCACCGAAACAGACTGTAAACTCCTTGTCACATAATAAATAACTTAATGGTGGGGGAAGCATGTTGCTGTGTAGAACACTGGAGCTGATTTATCTGCACATTAGTTGGACAAACGAAGGGAACATGTTAAAAAATAACATATATTAAACTGTAAAATGTAGCTTCAGACAAGTACAAACAATTAGAAAACATGGATGAAACATTTACAGTTTCAAGCATTAAAACAGGAAGCCATAGAGGAATGCGTTTCAGGTTCATTGTTTACCATCTCCTTTGAGTGGCACCTCTCAACCTGTGCACCGCAGTGACTTCAGCCCATTTAACACCCACCCATTAAAACTAATGAGCTATTAGCAGATGACTTTGAACAACTTAAAGGTCAGTGTTGCCTCTCCCCATACAGTATATGAACCAATAGGGTTAAAGAGACGGTTCTATATAGGATGGTTTTGATTGACTGACATGTTTTTCTTCTTTTGATGATGGCCTTTTTGATTTTATAGCCCTTGAAGGATGCTCTCATCATAAAATACTTTGATGGTATTGAAATGTAAGCCTTTTCATTTATTGTTTTTTTTTTTTTTTTTTTTAACCACATGTGAGCCTGTTAAAATGTGTAGATGATTAAATGATAGTTTATAAATCATAAATGCCATCTTAAGAGCACTGAGAAAATAAATGCAGAGGATGCAGTTAGGATAATACGGAGAAGAAGAAAAAAAAGGAAGCATGGCCCCGAGGCTAACATATTGCCAGTTTAACACTTTGAAGTTTGCATGGCCCCTGGGGATGGCCAAAACCCCAGCCATCACTTCTTTAAAGAGCACAACAATATTATAATACTCCCTTGAGCACAACTGTAAAGCCTACAGTTTCTCCAGGGCCCTTACTCTTGTGTTACTATACTGACATCTTGTGGACATAAATTGTACCTTAATGAGAGGAGACTTTAAATGACATATTTTTGCTTTTTTAAGACTTTAGATTATGCAAATTGAAATGTTACTTCCTCCCACACAGTCCAAAAACATGTTGAGGTTAATTGGTGATTATAAATTGTCCGTAGGTGTGAATGTGAGTGTGCTTGGTTGTCTGTCTCTAAGTGTAGCCCTGTGATAGACTGGTGACCTGTCCAGGGTGTCCTCTGCCTTCACCCTAAGTCAGCTGGGATAGACTCCAGCCCCCTGCGACCCTAGTGAGGATTAACCAGTGTATAGATAATGGATGGATGGAAATGGTACTAAAAATAATGATTTAAAACTATTGTATCAACTCATAATCATCTATTTCTATGAGCCTACCTGTTCATAACATCAGTTTTATTCTATTAAAACAGCCACTACTATTTCTTTGTTGCTAATTCTGTGGGATTCGTAACCTGATATGGCCCACTGTAAGAGCAGACGTGATCATCTGCAATCTAAATGTAGTAGCTCTGGATTTTTCTTGAGCTGGCGGTAGTTACTCTGCACTACAACATATGGACATGTAAGTAGGTTTAATGGCTGTTCAAGAAAATTAACTGTTACCAACCTGTTCGTCCCACCCAGTCCCAGGTAGGCTCAATACAAAAAAAAATTTAATTTATAAAAAGATATTTAGAAATCTTTCCCTTAAACAAAAAGCTTTTGTTTCTTTTTTCTTTTTATAACCTTGTTTACACAGAACAGAACAGAACAGAAGGTAAAGGTAGACAGATAGGTAAAAAGTAAATGCAGCAAAAGAGAAGCTATAAAAATATATACATTATACGAATAAAATGAATACACATTTTAAAAAGCACTCTGTACCATGTCCATGTGGTGCTTTTTACAAGCTTTAAGACATGAGCAAAGCCAACAGCATGCCTGAGCATTTTCACATTGAAACTGCAGTGTACCAATTACAGTTTAAAACACGTGGATTCAGACAGTCAGTGTTCCATTCAGACCTAATGAACCGATCCAGTGAACTTGTTGAGTGGGGTATCGTTATTCTTTTGCACAATCTGTTTCTGATTTAAACGTGTATGGCTGGATTACTCCACTATTATAACTTGCCATTGTGTAGTGAAGAGTATTTCTTACAGTTTTCTTGTGCTTGAGCTGCAGTGGGTTGGCAGGGACAGAGGCAGAGACTAGAAGAAGCAAGAGGTCAGAGTTACACCGAAGTCATTTTAAGGCATGAAGGGATTGTTTTCAGGGAATAAACTTTTTTTTTTTTTTTTTTAAAGTTTAAATTTTTTTTACTCTGACAGACAGATATGAGTTTTTATGGGTTTAATCAATCAGGGACTTTAAAGTAGATTTTAACACAGGTGCCCGCCTTTTTTTTTTAGATGTGGCCTAAAGCTCAGGCAATACAGCATGGTCTTCCTTGAAATTATAATCATGTCATCTATTAATTCCCAAATAAAAGAACACTTATGCAATCACTTCTTTTGCATTGTATATGTTTATTTAATTGGCATTACTTTGTAGAAACGTGTTCTCACTTTTCTACAAAAAATACCCTTGACATGCAAGAGTATTATTATTATTAGTTTTTTTTTTTTTGGTAAAATCTTGTCCAAGAAAAAGCCAGATTAAATTCACCAATAATCAATGTTGAAAACCCAAAAAAGGGCTTTGGGTGAATACTTTTTATTGGCACTGTAGAGAGAAACCCATCTGCTTCGCCTGGTTAGGGTGAGGGGAAAGAGGAGAAAATAAAGGATAACAGTTGGAAATTGTACTGAATTATCTATATGGCATTGTGGCCACAGTTATTAATTTGTTTTTGGATTTTTAATCATGCAAAATGCAGGAGAAGCCTGTAAAATCTGTTAACAAGAACATAAACACCATTGCTTTCTATTTTAAGTTCTAAAACATAGCTGATTGATGCACCCTTTTGTAACCATGGGGCACATTTACAGCGTTTTGTAGTTTTATTTCCACGTCAACACCTACTGACATAACTATTTGTAGCATCATGTGCAACCAGAAAGAAAAAAAACCCTTTAATTTACAACCGATGTTTGAATGCGCGTTTTCTACAAACAGTGTGGTTCTTGAACGCGCCCCACTTCCTAATGTGCGTTCAAAAACAGCTTTTCCAGCGATGGAGTCTGTAGCAGAGTATCTTAGTATCAGCCTACAACAGAGTTTGGCTTGAACGGGCTGGTTCGAGTAACTGTCATGCTGAATTTCTTTCATTTTAGCGTTTCAATTAAAGTCGTATTTTCTGTTGTTTTACCGTAAAACACCGTGGAGGAGCGGCAGTGGGCTGGTTAGCAACTGTAGCACGCGCAGTGTAACCACGGAAACACAACCCGCCGCCATGGCTCCGGTAACGTTTAAATCACAAACCTGCCACACTTTGTGAAAATGGATGAAGACCAAGCAATGACTAAAACGCGACCTAATTCATCAGAGTCTCCGACCGAGTAAGTGTCCTTTTTTTTAAACCTACACGTTCAGCTCCACTCCGGTGCTGCTACATGTCGCTGGTTCTGATACTAACTTAGCGCTCCGAAGATTGTATTTACTCCATTAAGTGTTTTTGTTGTTGTATGTGTAGCTTTTCTGTGTTGACATACCTCGTCTCACCGAACCTGCAGATCCCCAGAAAGCCTGGGAAGCGCCCACAGAGCTGTGGACGCGTCTCCCGACTGTGGTTCAGACGTCCAGAGCCCTTCACGGACTCGGTGCGCTCGGAAGGAGTTTATCATGATGCCTCCGGAAGAAAAGCTCAAACACTTTGACAGCCGGGCTCAGGCCAGTGAGAACAACCAGGAGGTGAGCACAGGTTGTAAGCAGTGTTATGAGTATTAGTTGTCATCAGAAGACTGTGGTCTTGTTCACGGGGTGATGCAATAGGGTTGATAAATCTAAACATGCTGGAGGCACACCCCCAGGCTACAACTCATAATTACTGCTGGGGTCATTTGCAGGCACATTAGTGTCCTTTTGTTAATTCTTGTTCGGGTTTTGATTGCATTTGGGGTATGACATTGATGTAGAACATGAGACACTGATTATTCATATCCCTGTATGCAATAATGAGATGATTAAAAACCTATTCTTAAGATCAAATAGATCTAAATGGATGTATTGTAGCTGCAAGGTAGGTATAGAAGCAGTGTTTGAGGTCGTGTTTGACACACTGTCCAAACAGGTATCATCATTTGCAAAGACACCTCAGTTTGGATTCATCCATCCATTCATTAGCTATCACCAGGTTATCCTGCAGAGGGTCGCAGGAGGCCGGACTGTGTTCCAGCTGACATTGGGAAGATATGTGAATATGTAACTGTGGCAGCTATACCAAAATAATACAGCTAGTGTATCTAAAAATCTCAAAACCAGAATAAGATCTTATCTGGTTCATACTCAGGATACTGATGTTCATATAATGTGCTCACAAGTGAATAGTCTTGATTTTGACATGTTTAAATTTTGTCTTTACAATGTCAGAAAATGGTAAATGATAATACAACTTTTGCAATAGATAGTTCCATTAAAAAAATTGAAATCCAAACTGATTTTATCAAGTGGTTTGTTGCTTCTCACTAACAGACCAAACAGTTTTTGTTTGTTTGTTTTTTTTTTAAAAACTTGCACTGATACAAAATAATATAATAATATAAATCCTCAAATTTTAAACGCTAGATCCAGTGGATGGCTTGGAGGAAACAGGACAAAAAAAACAATAACATTTGTAAGGAAAGTTAACAAGGCAAGTTGGATGAATTATAGAGGGTAGCACTGAAAGTCAGAGTGTGTATTATTGGCACAATTTTTAATTGTATGGTGCAGTGGCCTATAAAGATAGCTGATAGTAACATTCACTGTATGTGTTCAGTTTGATGCTTGCATCCAGGACCTGGTGCGTTGTGTGGCTCTGACAAGGCTAGTATACGGGGAGGGACACCTGAAAGTAGCCCAGGCCCACGCCAGGCTGGCTAAAGCATATTTCCATTTCAAAGGTAATACTTAAAAGATGCTCATTTAGAATTTGTAAGTGCCTTACCTTGCATTAAAAAAACTTTTAAGTTGAACTAGAGGCCATTACACACACACACACACACACACACACACACACACACTTTTTTCACTGCTTTTTACTGACAAGTCATTTTTGCTTGTGCTTGTTCTTCTAATAAACAGAAACAATATTATATATATGTATTTTTATAGGACAGTAAGTCAATGTTCAGACAGTTATTCAGTGTGTCAACAGTGTTGTCTGTTCCTCTAGGCTGGGCACTGCAGGCACAGGAACACTCAAGTCTGGCCAGAGAGCTGCTGCCTTTCTGCTCCTCCGTCACCTCCTGCAGACCTGAAAAGTCTGAGGTTCTCACATGTCTCCTGAGCATAAACCTCACACAAGGAGGTGCTTCACTACTTACAGACAAATATCCTTTCCGTGATTGGTTTGGCAGTAATGTATAGGATTGAAAACATATATCAGCTTAAAAAAAACTGAAAAAGTCCTTGACTGGTCAACCTTGGAGGAGGCAGAATCCTCTTTCCTGGAGGCAGAACATATCCTTGAGCAGCTTCATCAACACACCGTTATCAGCCAGGAAGAGAAGATAAAGACTCAGTTGGAAATCTCCACTGGTCTATGCAGGTACTGTAGTTGGGGGAAAAAATATTGCAACAGTGCACAACAAATATGTGGTTAAAATTTAAAGGTGGTAAATATACATTAGATTAGAGGCTGTAATCTGAAATTTCTTCCAATATTATCTTCAATCTTAACAAAGATAACTTTGCACCATTCTAAATTAAAAAGTAACAGGTTAGGTTCTCCAGTGTGAATTCAGAGTACAGCCTGGAGCATGAGAACGTTTAAGCAATATCTATTAGTTTTTCTAAAACTCTCCCATTTTAATCCAATACTTTAACTTTATTTAAGTAAGGCCACAAGATGGCGACATATTCCTACAGATTTGCAGAAAATCTGCCTTTTGCAATGTTTTTTCCAGAGAGGGGGATTTTTGCTGGCTTATATACGCTAGTGTAAACACCATTATTCCATGTTGACTGAAAACAGCCTCTTACCCCAGTCAGGATTTCCCCTTTTATTGTCCAGTCCAATCAGCGCTCGGCACGGGTGTTTTGTAATGATGCTTACAGACATGGTGGGTGGGGTTGCTATATGTCCATTCAATCAGTCACTGATGAAGCAGAGCCACAGATGGAACAGAGCGATTTGTCCTCTTTTAAAGCATTTTCTAAATGAACTTTCTGCTTTTGTTCCTCCATTTCTTTAGCTTCCTCCTCAGTTATAAATGTCTCTGCCCCCTTGAGACAGTATGTATATAAGCCCTTAGCTACTGTGTTAAATGTCAGTTGCTTTGTTTGGTTACGTCAAATTAACTTCCATTTATTTATCATTCATTTGTTTTCTACCATTTTAGAATATACAATTGTAACCTGATGGTGGTACTGTACAACAGAGGTCCGAAGCGTAGTACTATGTGCTGAGTAAAAGATTAAAGAATTAAAAGGATTGTGGAGGTGACACCTACACAGAGATCAAGTGTAGTACAGACTGATAAATAGTCTGTTACGGGAACTGTGTGACTCTGGAGTTTACAAAATAGCATCCACTTGTCATAGCTTAAATCACTGGTGGTGAAATTAGAGGCACAACTGGGAAAGAAAATATAGTCTTGCCTGCGTTTATATCATCCCACTAATGTCTTCATGTTTATTTTGATCTTGTTAATCCTGGTATGTGAGAGGGCTACTTGGTATCAACGGCATGTGTCTTGACTCAGTAAACGGTTAATGCTCTCACTTCCAATCGAGAGCACCGATGTGAGGTGAGCTACAGCTATAGGAATTTGTAAATTATGCCATCTTGATCTGTTTCAGAGAGTCAGAGTTTGTTGACATGATGTGTGTAATTGAAAAAATGTGCAGACTCTGGCTTGTGTGTAAGCTTACTAAATCTCTTTTGTTAGGTGATGACTAAGAATTTGGCATGCGTCTAAAGCTCTGTCAGTCAACACTGTTGTGATGGAGGGGAATGTTCCCACCAAAGCCTGGAACAATGAAGTAAGCTCAGCTCTAGCTATAGATCCTGGTCCAAACATTCTGCTCAGTTTGAGATTCACTCTCAAGGTGTGCACTCGTGATCAGTCAGTTGGAATATTTCTATCGGGGGGGGGGGCAAAAGCTTTATGGCGAGGTTTAAATTGTTGTGCATGTTCGTTCATAAGATGACTTCTTTTCTTTGCCTCCTTATGACTGCTGATATAAAACTGCAAATTTAGTTTGCAGATTTATATGATCTGTAATTGAATAATGAATTCATAAAAAATCTCTCCACTGTTAACTTAATTTTCATGTTCATGCATCATATAAGGGTGTGCTCTGTTTACCAGCTTGTGCAAGTAGAGTTTGTACTGTACTTCTACTTCCACTGTCCTTAATGTATATGTGGGCTAATAGCTGTACAGTGCATGCAGCATAGCTACTGTCCTTTAATTCCCAGTGGTACTGTCTTGCTTGGATTCAGTTTCTCGTTGTTTTCCTTTCAAAAACGTAGCTATTTTCAATCGCCCCTCATTCAAGCTGTAAAATTGTCTCTGATTAGTTGACTGAAATAAAACCAGCAGGGATTCTGCCGTAGACGGCCACGGTTGAGACTAAACAGGTAGTAAAGTATTTTTCTTTTTCACCCACATCTACCTGAGGCACTCAATAAAAAGCCCCATCAGTTAAAATGCCTTCTGTTTAAAGCACCATATGGATTTGCTGAAGCCGATCGTTGTGTTTTAGTCCCTCTGTTTTCATTTTGGCTTGGCCTTACTGTATCATTTTCCAAATGAGAGCCCAGCAAACTTACGTCAACCATTTTCTGGAAACATTTACAAAAGAGCGCTGTGTGGCTTGCTTGGCAACACATCTACTAATCCTTAATTATATTAATTCCCAGTAATGTGGACTCTGAGTATATTTCAGTGGGATGTGGCATATTACTGTTCCACCAGGAAGTGCGTAAGGATGTAGAGTGAATGAGAGGATAGAGAGGCATTGTGTCTGTTTGTCCATGCAGGCAGAATGGTAGGACTCGAGCCATGCTGGAATGTAACTCTGCTTCAGCCATCTCTGCTGCCCTAAAAGGACCTGAAGTGCCTGCCCAGTGAACACTTATGGGTGGGGCAATTCTACTATCCATCAAGGCATGTTAAGGATAATCTTAGATTCATGGGAAAATTGAAGAAAAGAGCCTTCACCGTGTTTTTGTAACCTGTGCTGCTGGCACATATCCACTGAGCCATAAATACCCAAATTCATGTGGTCCAAAGACGTGAACACGACGTAAGACTGAACAGCTCTTTTTGGTTCCCACAAACGAAGTGAAAACATTTGATTCACTCATGATACTGGAAGGTACCTTGGATAAACCCTAAAGTCAAATGGGACGATACCACAGACTGACTTTGGTGTGTATTCTGACTTGTCATTTAGAACACCACATACAACCACTGCATACTCTGGAGAGTGTGGACAGACTTCTGAAAGGGGTTTCCCGTACTATTTTGCGATAGTAGTGTGGCGACAGACGTTATAGTAGTGAGCATTTTGCCCTTTGACAAAGGCCACCCCCTTCACTGGAGAGCTGAATTAAATTTAGAGTCCATTAGATGGTTAGTGCCACAGCGTGATGGATCCCGTGTCCTTGCAGTGGATAATGCAACCATCCACTCTTCCACCCTCGTGCTGTGTAGTAGCCAAAGCATCTCTACCCTGCATGACAGGAAAAGACTGGCTTTTGAAAGAGCAAAGAGCACGTGAAGCCGAGGACGAACACGTACACAATTGGGTGACACATTGTTTTAGATGTGCTGTAGCTATCCTTGTTTTCTCAAGTGCTATGCTTAGATATTCAGCTTCAAGACTCCAGAAACATCCCCTAATTTAGACATCTTGGAATGGGAATTTAAACACACTGAGGGGGTTAAGAACAGTTTAACCCCCAGTCCCAGAGGAAATTGACTTGTGAATAGATGCAACCAAAAAGAGTTAGAAAAACAACTTTTCCCTATTATAGTCTGCACTGCACCAGCCTTTAACTGCAGCCATCAGCCAAAGTCTTTCCCTCTCTGCAAGGCCTCAGTTTGGCTAGACACAAAGCAATTACTTCAGTAACAAGAAACAGGCTCATAGCATTGAAGTAGCAGGTGTATGGTTATATACTGTACTGTCAATAAATAAAGACAAAATTTAGGATTACATTTTAATCAGACTATTTTAGATTATTTTTATGGTTTCAGTATATTCTAGTCCACTATAGGATTGTGCACAAGGCTAAATTGGTTGCTGTCAATTTATTTTGACCCCCAGTAAACAGAAGAAACCTCAGTAATCAGAAGATGGATTCTTCTATGATGGATTAAAACATGCAGCCCATGTTTTGTTGACAGAATAAGGCATCATAGTAAATTTTCAGCATTTAGAATCACAATGGCAAAATTATAGAGAGGTTGTAAACATATGAAGACCCAAGAGAACACTGAAAAACATTCAGGTGACATCATTATGTTTCCCTTTTTGTCTTTAACAGCCAACCCTGTTTTTATGTCCTTTCTGCTCTATAGGGTCTATAAGAGACAGAGCAGACCAGAGGCGGCCTTGAGCCAGTGTGAGAAGTCTCTGCAATTGCTAAAGGATTGTTGTAAGCCAGAAGAGACTTGCTCTGTCTATAAGGACATGGCAGCCATCGAACAGGACAGAGGTCATTTGGACCGAGCCATAGAGCTTCTTTCCAAGGCAAGAAGCATATCACTTAGACCACTTTCACACAAACAACTCTTCTGTACAACATACACAAACATGCGAGACCTTCTTTAAGACGGTGCCAAGCTGTTTTATTAGGTAATCTTGCTACACCTCTTACTTGGGGGTACGTGATCTGTCTTATTTCACATTGTTGTTTCTGCTAGGCTCATTCCATTGCTATGAGTCACAGCCCAGAGGAGCTCGAGGGGGCTCAGATCTCCCACAGCCTGGCCCTCATCCTTTCTGCTGCAGCAGAGCCCCATCACAATGGTGAGTCTATTCACATAAACAGGCTTGGCCTGAGCAACATGCACAAGGGGTTAATTAGGATTTGAATATCCCATTGTCTTCTTATATGTCAAATTCTTTAAGATGGTGTTATGGAAACTAGCCTTATAATAGTCTTTTTGAAGACATGTTCAACTTCAGTCCTGTCAAAAAACTCAAGGCTAATGTACACTCCTTGGTTGCTATGGAAATCGTAACATCTGGAAACTGAAAATGACAAGGATTTATGTGGAAAATTATGTAATGTAATACAATTTCAGAATCAGTTCTTTTATGAAATTATTGCCGCAATTTAAGTTAATATGCATCATTTTTGTTTTTCCCCATGCTGCTGTAGACGCTGCAGGTCATTACTTTGAGCAGAGTCTAAGCACATACAAGAATTGTGTCGGTCCACAGGATCCAGCCTTTCTTGCTGTCCAGGACGACTTCTGTCGCTTTCTCCTAATGAATGGAGAGCAAGAGGTGACACACATTCACCAACTAACGGTTTTTAATACCAGTCAAACGATTACAAACAATTAAGAGTTCCTTTATGTCCACAATATTATAGACATCTCATACTTTTGTTCAGGCAACACGCTGAGATTGTCACTATTCTTACTCATTTTCTCCATAGAGCAGCACCACGGAAACACTACCTCAGAGTTTGTCATTGTTGAGTGGTTGTTTCTATGTGCCGTATGTGGCTTTTTCTGCGGCTGCGAAGAGATTTATATATTTTTAATGTACCATTGCAGAAGTGTGTGGGGATCCAGAGAGCCTCTCTTGATTCTAAAAGATCTGCATTTGGTGAGTTGAGTGCTGAAGTAGCAGACACCCTTCAGCTCATTGGAAGTGTGGAGATGACTGAAGGCAAGATGAACCAGGCTCACAGGACAATGACAAAGGTATGTTACCGAACACGAACAGCAAACATAGTGTTTTTCTTGGTTACCACCTCATAGGAGTTATGCTAGCTGCTGGCATCGAACGTGACATTGTCCCTGCCAAACCCTTTGGGAATGTTTATTAAAGGGCCAGGAGTCAGCAGGTGTGGCCACTTACACCAGTTAGAGGGTGAGAAGACTGTTGAGAATATACATAAAGAGCCCCTTTCATTTTGTGATGAGCTATTTCCACCGTCTCTCTTGAGCTTAGTGTTATCAGAGTCGCATGCTAATCTTGGAAGGGTGCAGTGTGCACAGCCACCCTCCCTGGTGTAAAATATCACACACAGTGACTTTGTGTTTCTTCAGTCTGGATGGAGCCTGACAGATGGGCAACACAACTTTGGAACGAGAATGGCAGTTTGCTAACTGCTGTCAATTAAAGGGACACTGACCCCAATTAGTTTAGTAGGTCATTATGTCCTTTGAAACAAAAGTGGCATTTTCCTATCTTTCAGCACACAGGCAGTGAATAACCAGCAGCCTTTAAGTTAATCTAACCATGTTTCTCCTTTATAGTTATTACTGTTTGACTTCTTTCCTTACGTAACGTACTGTTTTTGTTTTCTAATCGCTGTTTGACTGCACATTTGCCACATGAGATCACTTCTGCCATCAACTAAACATACTGATCGACACCACAAAAGGGGGCTTGCTCCATACGAGTAATGACATGCCTGTAAATAAAGGAGCCTGGTTGCTATGTTGTGTTGTGTTGTTATTGCTATCTGAGTGCAGAGGGGGTTCAAGTATGACAGGGTCCATCAGGGCTCACTCTCTCTGCACCACGTACGACGAGTAACCTTTTTTAAAAGTGCACTGACACAGAGCAGATATATCCGGAGCGTTTTTTTTTTTTTTTTTATGGCTGTCATCATGACACCAGTTGCTCTATGATTGAGTAACTTTTGCTTTTCCATTGGAAAACTGGTTTGTACAGTAGATACAGTGCACAAGAGCTACTAAAAACAAAGAGAACAATGGTACCCTCACAGACATTTGACATTCCCCCTTTCCTGTGAAGTACTCCTGAAAAAAGGGCCTTCCATTACATCAACCTTAGCAACAGTGAAAACATCCAAGAGGCCAGATGGATCTGTTCCAGATTACCAGTGTTTTACTTTCCCCGGTGAAGAGGGAAGCTTTTCACTCCCTATTCCCCAGCTTTTACAAAGTTCCCTTCACATCTTGCTATTTCTGATGATTGCAGAAATAGCTGGCAGGCTTTTATCATATCGGTTACGTCACTGTCACTCTCTGTGTGCACGTTGTGCAATCTTATACATGTGTTTACTGTTAAATGTTCTGACGTTTCTGGAGTTTAAACCAAGTAATATTTTCTTACATCATAGAGCTAAGCAATCTTTGCTCATTTCTGTAATTTGATTAAATTAAACTAAATACAGGACGGAAAATGACTCAGGCTGAGTCTTAGTATGTTACCTACCCCTCAGATTCCTGGGGTGTTGGTTTAGAGTCCTTGCAATAAATCTCGGAGATCCCCCCTCGTTGATTTGATGCTCCGAGTGGACAGCGCAGGTGTTATATAAACCTTGGACAGCTACAGTGGTTATTTTTGGTATGTTTAGTGCATTCACATGTTGCTAGGAAGTGTTGCTTCCCCTCTGAGTATGAGTTGCCCCTCTCATTTTTCACTGACCACTCTCTCTTTTTTAATTGTAGTGCCTGAAGATCCAGAGTTTGTTGTGTGGTCCTCAGCACAAGAAGACGAGAGCCATGCAGAAAGCTGTGGACATGCTTGCTCGGTAACTCTGCACAACATGGAGTTATATTTATAGTTAATTAAAGTGTACTTTCTATGAAGACATTTCACTCTCCTGATAATAAATTGCCAATAAACAGTTTTATTTTAGTAGCTTGATAAAGTTTCAGCATGTCAGTGAAATAACAGACTTGTGTGAGAATGCAGCCCATGTTTTATCGATTCAACCATGTACTGTCTGTTTTTCAGGACACCAGAAGTGGCTGAGAGACTGCAGAGGCAAGGTAGAAGGAAAACAATACCTCACACCTTTCCACTTGTACCATCCAGTGGTAACAATGAACACTCTATGTCTGACTCATAAATTATCTTTTCTTTTTTTTTTGTCACTAAAACTATGTTAAAGATGTGCCAAGAACTACTGATAGACTGTTTTTTGTGAAACGTATCCATCATGATTATGCAGATAACTGCCACTGCCTAAAATCAGTTTGAATTGCTCATTATGTCAACTATGCTGACTTTTTTTTTTGTCATTTTGTACATCATGTAAAATAAGATAGCCTTAAAGAAATACTCACACAAAACATGCCCACAATATGTTTTAATGATGTTAAGATATTAATTCATTTTAGTAGGGGCTGGAACCAGTGTCAACCAAAGCAAACTGTCATTTGTTCAATACAAATCATAATGTCAATAAAAACATTGATGTTGGTCTGTCCATTCCACATTCATTGATCACTGACTCAAACAGTTTTTTAAGAGATCCATAAATTTTCTGTATGCTTATGTGTACAATTTGTTCATGCTATGAAATGGCACATAGTATCCAGATTACACTGTGTACATACATATAAAGATACAGTTTAAGTGCACTGATGTAATAGTGTTTGTGTTTAAATTGTCTGCTGGTAAGAAAATTTATGGAAAACGGCTATATCTGGGCACTTAAATGCAACAAATCCTTTGAGTTCCAGGTTCTGTCTGTAGATTTCTGATTACTTCAAATGAATACATTTAGAAAAGCACAGCATTTTTTTTGCTAAATATTGCATTTATGCATTTTTAACACAATGCCAAGTCTGCATAGATGTTTCTCAGTAGTTACAAAGTCTAAGTTATAAAGCCATTAAGAGAAAATGTCCAAAACATATCGTGTAACCATAGTGTTCCATTTCTGCCTCTACAACTAGTACACAACACAACAAACCCCAGTGAACACTCAATGCCACTAAGCTGATGATCCAAAAATAGTCGCAGTCATAAACACACTCTTAGGTCAGAGCAAAGGTGAATCCTTCAAGCCAACTCTGTGATGGCCAACAAGCGTGGACGAGCCAAAGACGTGCCAAACTCAACTTACATCACAACCGGATGTGATTCTATTTTCACAATTACTGGACCGTCTTAATTCAGTCAGATTCCAAATATTGCTTGACAGAAATATGTGGAATTCTAAATGATACAATCCATAATTTAGAAATTTTAACGCACAATTACATGTTCAGACCAAATCATGTTTACTTTTGGTAATAGAGAAATGTATGGCATTGGTACACACCATGTAAACATACATTTAATAGAAACATGTCGCTCACAAATTGCGCTGATCATATAACTCCAAGTTGATTAAAATATCGCTGATTCCTTTTCAGATTGTGCCATTAGTTGAGTGAGTAAATAAAAATTCCAGACAATCCCTTTTAAGTGCCACAACTAGTTAAAAGCTTCTTAAGACAAATGTCAAAAGACATCTTGTTTATATCACTCCCACTATACTATAGCATCACTCTGTTCTGTACATGTTAGTGACTACTTCTCAAAACAAACCACCGTGTTCCTTGATCTAATAAGTACTAACAACATTCCATTTTGTAGAGGTGCCCAAGACACAAGGAAAATTATAGCCTCAGTCTGCTAATGGAACAGCACCTCATGCCTCCAAGTGTCCCCTGTTGATCTACATTAAATGTTGACCGAGGACTCAGCATCACGGCAAATACAGCCGTGAAGCGATGGCCTGGTTGATGGTGTGCTGTAAACTGCAGAATGTGGCTGTTAAAGCTGTCCAGCACAGGTTAGTACAAAAATAGAGGGCTCTAAAGAGAATAAACAAAGCTATTAGAAGATAACCAGGTAGCTATGAAAAGGTTAAACATACTAGCGCAACACACATCAGTATTGCCGAGCATAAAAAACAGCTACAATACGTTGATGTTTTAAGTGCAAGTACATCTAGTCCTTACTAGTTAGTATCTAGTATTTTTAGCACTGCCGCAATCAATACCAAAGGCTATATTATTCTGGTAATTTTAACTAAATAGCTGCATTTTGCTCCAATGTTACTCCAAGCTTTAGGCAGCAAACTTTAAGTATAGTAAAAGAGCACACCAAAATCACTTCGATATGTGCGACTGCAGAAATGACAGCATTCTTACAGTGTGTGGACTGCAGCATTGGGACAGCTCTTGTATGTGCACTTCAACATACAGTCATACATTGGCAATAGTTGAGTTTGAAAATATTTCTGACTTATTTCATTCTCAATCTTCTGAGGGGTTTTCAAGGTAAATTGTTGCGATTCTTTTCTCTTGAGAAATCTTCACAGGGGTCTCCAAGATGTGCGACTGCAGCTCTGGCTCTGCGGTGGCCTCAGCATGGCTGCCCTGTACGTCCATCTGGAAGGTGAAGGGCTTCTCTGCTTGTCCCAGTTTAACGTATTTCTGAGTGATTTCAGACGCAGATTCTCCTTCACTGCTGAAGACGCCAAAACCCCCACCCTGAGCATCATCATCATCATCTTCTTCAACAACTCGGATGCTGTACCCTCCTCCTGCCCCACCCTGGAAGGCTTTCTCCAGCCCTAGGTTAGAGGATCTGAGAGCTGCCATGATCTGGTCTTCAGACAGATCATCTCCTGCCTCCAGCAGTCCAGACTCTTCCAGGCTTTGAGAGACATTTAGCTCTGCGACTATGGTCATGGTTCCGTTGTCAGTTGACTGTTGAACTTTTTTGACATCGACGGCCACATTCTGTCCACTTTCACTGCTCACTTTTGTGAGGAAAGCCAACTCCTCTCTCAGTGGACCTGACACGGAGCTTTGGAGCTTCTCAAGAGCCCCCTTCAGCTGGTCTTTGGGCTCCAAAGAGTCCTCTCTCAGGAACTCAAGCACCGACTCCTGCACGATAGGTGAAACACGAACTTCTTCTTCAATGATGCACTCCGGAAAACTCTCTTTGGCAAACAGGCGATCTCCCGACGTGAACTTGTATTCATCACTTTCCTCTACAATCACTCTTTTCTGGGGCAGACTTTCATCTTGATAATACCTCTCATCTGACAGGTCATCTACAATGCCATAATGGCCGTATGAAGTTATCCCAACCCCCTCCTCGGGTTCAGAAAGATTGTCATCTGGTGTGGAGACAAAATACTCATGAGAATCTTGGTCATGGGAGAAATGTGAGGGTTCACTCTCTCTGGAGACCTCTTCGACTTGTACATATCCACCCCTGGAGCGGTCTGTGCCGGTCATGAAGGATTTCATGGCATCATCATCATCATCGCCCCTCTGAGTGTCATGAGAGACATTTTCTAGCTCTTCGATTTGGAAATACGTCGAAGGTTCATAAAAACTAGATCTGGACTTCTGTTCAACCTCAAGCTCCTCATCACTGTGAGACTCCACAGGCTCCTCAATGATTTCCACATTGACAGACTTATTTTCTAGGCTTTCTCCTCCCTGCAAGCCACTCAACAGATTCTTGATCATGCTTCCTGTTGCTGTATCCTTGATGTCCTCCAGTGAGACCTTCTTCACACCTTGGCTCAGTAGGTCCTCCAGGGCAGAGTCCTCTGAAACATCCAGCTCTTCCTCCACCTTGGACTCCAGCACAATCTGTGTCTTAGTTGTGCCGTCCTCTTGCTCGGTTTTCTCCACATGGTATCTGACCTTCGACTCTCCTGATGAGCAGACCTTAGCGTCTAAACCTGCTGGTTTGATCACTTTCTCAATTATCTCTTCTACAGACACAGAGTCTAATATCTTTTTCTCAGTTGGACCTATTGTAGACTCTGTTCTCTCTTTGTCCTTGGACTCGTCATAAACGCTGCCTTTCACTTTTTCACCTGACACGTGCTTTTTGCTCTCTGTCTCAGTTTTCGTGCGTTCGAGGTTCATCATTGGTGATGACACCACTTTTACTGATTTGGTCTCTACTGTTGAAGACTTTACTGGACCGATTTGGCTCTCTACCTGTTTGACTTTCACAGTTTTGTCCTCTGCTTTTGTTTTCTGCACATTTTGACTCATTTGCTTTTCTCTTTGGCCTATTTGTGTATCTTTGGTGGTGGTAGCAGGGGCCGAAGCGGCAGCCCGAGCTTTGTTGAATGAGATCATGTCCCTTCTGGATGTCGGACTCTGATGGCGAGTTCTCTCTGCAACTGAAATAGGGATGACCCTGGAAGGACTTCTGGACCCAGAGAGAGACACAGGGGATCTTCCCAGGCTTGATATTGGTGGTGAGTACCTTATGTCCGTATGTTGTCTGGTGGTTAAGGTGGAAGCTCTTGGAGTGTAGGGTTGGGAAGGCATCTTGATATCTGAGAAGTAGTTAGCATAAATAATTAATGACAAATTGGAATGTTTCATAATAATAGCAGAACAAATTCTTATTTATCCAGATAGATCTAATGTTATCTGGTGATCGTTGTATTTATAAAAATAACAGAGAAACACTTTTCAGTACAGTACCTATTATTCTTTCTCTCTGATGTTGATTCCCCCTCCTTTGCGCATCTTGCAGACCTACCCGCTCACCTTCCAGGAGAGCCCTAAACAGAGAAAAGAGACAAGACTAAATACCTCTGAAGACGAGGGAAAATAAGGCACAATAAATCAAAGGCTATCCCCATGTTGTAACAGAATATTTTCACATGCAGTCACTAAAAGAAATCAAAGATAAATACCTCACAAGACGGTGTACTTCATTCAGCTCTGCCATTTCAACCCTCTCAAACTAAACTCAACAGGCTTACAAGACGGTATGAATCCAGGACCTGGCCATATAGGGTAGTAATCATCAAAATCATAACAAGCTGCAGTCATCTAATAAATACTTTTGTAAATACTGCTGGAATCAGTTTAAACAGCTCACCTTTCCTTGGCCATGCTTCAACAAGATTATAACAGCCAACAAGTGCCACAAAAAAGAACAACCTCTCTGGAGAGTGCCTTCCGAAAGACTGACCTAAAAATAACGACTACAATGCGGGGCTGACCACACGTAGCAATGAATCCTAAAGCAAAAGCTGACTCGTGACACGTGCGAAAAACACATGCCGCCGTCACGTCTCTCAGCGAGCATTCTGTCTATTTAAAACATTCAAAACAAACCAGATGTGCCTGTAGAGAATACATAGAGGCACACTGGAGTGGCTAGTCGTCTGAAGAACTTCAATAAAATTAAGGTATCAACCAACAACTCTGCTGAAGACGGTTAAAATGCTGTGTAGTATGAGGCACGAGGTTATGACATAACAACGGTAACTCCAAAGACGTAACCTTCAAATGTGAAAATACTGCATATTAACTGCTTTATAAATAGCCTTGACTTTCAGTAAAAATAGTCCGTTAGTGTGTCCCCCGTGTGTGATCCGGTCATGTTATGTGCATGAAGACTAGATGTACTATGCTATAATTGGATAAGATATGCCATCTATAATTAATTTTGCTTCATCGAGACAAATCACAGAAAAAAGTTTTAACAACTTTTTACCAAAGATGTACGTACAGTTTGTGTAGCATTAATGACAGTATATGTCAGATAATCATTTTCAGTTGATTTAACCACGGGTGGAGTTCTTGGATAAGAGCACTTAGTGCCAAGACCAGGAGGAAGTGAGCAGCTGATTTATCCTAATGTGAAATGATGACATCACTAATTAAGTTAGGAGTAACTTCAGGAAGAGAGGGCCTGGTTTAGCAGTAGTCTGTTCTTGAAAGCATGGAATTGTCTCTGAAGAAAGAGCAAAAAACCTTTTGAAGTTTAGCCGTCTTTTCAAATTCACAAAAGAAAAAGCTTACTACGTAGAGCCATATATTTACATACAGGTTGTATTTTTATATGCTCTCATACTTGCTTTTATAGAAATCCTACCCCAGCTTCTATCACTTGTTTGTTCAACTTAAATGTTGTCAGTGGCTAAATTTGTGACACTCACACCAACATTTAAAGGTCCCATATTGTGCCCCTTTTATTAAACAAATCAATTAAATGTCTCATATGTCCCTAGAATATGTTCTTCAATTTTTCAGCTCAAATACTACAAAGATGGTCCATTTCGCCATTACTGTATAAGCTCTGGTTTTAGCCCTGTTCCAAACAAACTATTCCAGCGTCAATAGCTTTAAAAACTGCTGCTGTCCACACCCCCTTCAGGAAGAAGACTCTCTCTGCCTCCGTGACTGACAGCGCAGAACAAAACAGCTGACCATAAAGCAGCCCACACAGATGTGAATGAGTGTATATGGCCAGGACTTTGTGTCTGAGTGAACATTTTACATGGAAATATCGACAAATTTACAGCACAGTTGTTGTTTTTAACTCATGTGTGCGGTCAGTTTGTCAGAAAATGTTCAGGTTATAAATTAAGTAGTTTAGTTGCAGAGCAGCAGCTTAGAAATTGCTCTGAAGCTGGTTGACATGTAGCCTTATTACTATATCATACTCATCCAGTTGTCTGACAACAGAAACAGAAAAACATGTAAATTAGCCCAGCAAGACAGCTGCTTATTCTAAATGGCTTACCTGGAAGGCAGGATTATGCACCTTTTTTTTGCTCAACATCTACTACTTCTACGTAGAATCTGCATAAAATTCTGATTGACTTGTAAAGCTGGGGAGGATTCATCTAGTTGATGTGGTGGCTTAAGGAATGACAGTAGTAAGTGGCTTCATAATAAAATGGATATTCATCGTGTTGGACATTTAAATCAACTTTACAAAAAGTGTTGAGCTGCTTTTCTTCCTGGCACCAAACCCTCACTTTTCATATCCTTCTGTCATAGAAGGCATTTCAACATCTCAGAAAAGCACTGGTTTAAAGAGCAAAAATGAAAGATTGATGAATTCCATGTTGCTGTTTTGGTTTTAGCGTCCCGTCACTTGCACGGTCAGAGGTTACTGGGACATATGAATGTGAGCTGACAAGTTGGGAAAGGGCCTTTTCTACTCAAAGTGATGCTTTAAATAATTAATTTGTTTTTACTATACGATGGACAACATAAGAACAGACCAATTACCTGTAAGCAGCCACCTCCATGCCCAGATCCATCTTCACCTGCAGAAGGTGCTGATGCTCCCTCATCTTTTCTTCTATAGTGTCAGCCATGACGTTCCTCTCGTGCTCCAGCTGCTCAACAATCATCTGGAGGACAAAAAAAATCACATTTTCAAATTTTCACTTCACCCATGGTTTAATTTTACAAGTCTGTGGTCATTCCATTGGGTACATTATGAGTCTTTTTGCTTGTTTAGCCACGCAGTTTAACAAAAAACACAGCAATCATGCAAATCTCTTGTTAACCATAAGTCTGTAACCACAATTTTTACTGCAGCCTGCATTGCTGTAGCAGCTCTTTTCCCATGTTGTGTCCTAAATTTTTAATCTCTTATGCAGAACGATGGCAAAATCAGGCCTGACCAATTAGTAACACCTTCTGTTTACATTTTCCTGTTAAATTTGACATCCTATTATTTTAATTTCAACACGTACTCTAACTGAGAAACATGCTGGATGCTGCAACACAGAAATCGGCCCTGCAGTGTGCAGCCCGCATAGTCATTTGTATCTGACCGGTCTTACTTGCTGCTCCATCTTTAGGAGGCTAATAAGGATTTGTCAGTCTGACAGCTAATTGGTTTAAGTGGCTGGAGTAATTTAGCAGCTATAAAGTCCCGGGCAGGTCGGATGCCGGTCGGCTAGTCGAGCTATTCAATCCTTTTATATTGAGGTCAAACGTTGCACGCGAGATCCATGCTTTGGACAGTTATGGCACCACTTCATGCTGGTAATGCCTTTATGTACCGAGGAGAGTCTATCACATGTGTTGGGATGCACTTAAAGCATAAAGATAGAGGATGCTACATAAATCTTAACCTACATTTTGAGGGTGTTATCATTTTTGAGCAAGCTTTTTAGGTTTCAGAATCAGCCTGATCCTTAACTATTCATTTGCAGCAGCCATTGAGTGCTGCAGCTGCATCAGTGCCTTTAAGGGGCAGTGGGTGTGGCAGGGGCAGAGGGACTAGCCTCTCCCTGCTCCTGTGGCTCACTGGAATAAAAAGGAGATTAATCTGACTCTATTTTTCTGATTATTTTCTATACTTATAACACGTGAGGGGAAAATACAAAATCTCTGACTTCACTTCAGCCTCTTTGAAATATTAATTCACACTTCCTCTCCTCTCCTCTTTCATAATTCACTTGTCCTCACCTGATAGTCATTGAAGTCCACACGGAATTTCTCGTGCATATTCATCAGCTGCTCCTCCAGACGCACTTGGATCTGTCCCTGTCTTTCCGCCTCTTTGCGCATTTTGTCCAACTCGCACGCGTACAGCATCTTCTCCCTCTGCAGGTCGCTCAGCCTGGCCTGGTCCGCTTTAATCGACTGCTCCATCTCCTCCACCTTCTGCTGGTACATATCGAAGGTCTCGATCCATCCTTCGGACAGACCCCTCGCGTACTCTTGCACCTCTTCCACGGAGACCGCCGGGGGGCCGCGATAAGTTTGCGTGATGATGGGAACCACCCGGGACTCCACCTGATGCCGGAGTTGGTGCATTTCTTGCCTGTGCGCGTCCTCTAAGCGTTTGTACTCGTTCTCCAGTTGAACCAGTCGCTGCTGGAGCTCGTGGTTGGTCTTGTGGGCGTGCTGGAGCTCCTTCTCGCAGCCCTGGAGCTCGCCGCTGATGTCCCTGCACACGTCGGTCTGCTCGCTGCGCAGAGACTGGACCATCTGCAACTCCCGCCATAGCTTCTCCCTCTCCATCTCCGCCTGGGACTTCTCGAACGACAGCTGCCCCACCATTCTCCGCAGATCCTGCATCTCGGTTTTGTAGTTCGGTTGCCGATCGGCGGTCCTCACCTGTCTGAGTTTATTGATCTCAGCGATGAGATGCGCATTTTCTTGCTCCAGCTGCTTGGTCCTGGACAGATACTGGGAAAGTCTGCTGTTGAGCTCCTGCAGCTGGTGTTTTTCGCTCTCAAAAGTTCTCTTGAAAGGAAGCATCGTTGCATCTAATAGTGAAAAGTGAATTTTTTGTTAAACAAAATGCAAAGCGGTTTCTTTTTGTTTAGGAGACAGGGTGTCCCGGTGTCATTTGCGTGTGCGTCTGTGGGCGCAACTGTGATGTAATTTGCGAGCAGTGGCCTTTGACAAGTGCAGGAGGAGGAGGGCGGGTCCTGCCTGCATCACAGGAGCGTCCCAGGCGCGTCCGTGCCCCTGGCAGATGTTATGGTGCGTTCAAGGGCTATCTGAAATAATGA